GTCAAGTCAATTCATTGATATTTAAATGGATAGTTATAAAATATATAATTTGTATTAATGTAATTTTTATGAGTTAAGTTGCAATAAATTTGAGTGTAAAGAGGACAAAATAAATACTTTACCCAACTATAAATATTAGGTTAGTTGTGAGTAAAACATTTGACTTTAAAATGAAGATGATATAAGAACTATGTATTTAAAACTTTTGGGTTGGATTCAACTTAAAAGTTATCAAAAGATTAACTCAAAAGTTGTTTGTGTAATCAGTTACAAGAACCTTGCCTAGAGAGGTGTGTAGAGAGGTGTAGAGGTGTGTAGAGAGGTGTAGAGGTGTGTAGAGATGTGTGTAGAGAGGTGTAGAGAGGTGTGTAGAGGGGTGTAGAGAGGTGTAGAGAGGTGTGTAGAGGTGTAGAGATGTGTAGAGAGGTGTAGAGAGGTGTGTAGAGAGGTAGAGAGGTGTGTAGAGATGTGTAGAGAGGTGTAGAGAGGTGTAGAGGTGTGTAGAGATGTGTAGAGAGGTGTAGAGAGGTGTAGAGGTGTGTAGAGAGGTGTAGAGGTGTGTAGAGATGTGTAGAGAGGTGTAGAGATGTGTAGAGAGGTGTAGAGATGTGTAGAGGTGTGTAGAGAGGTGTGTAGAGAGGTGTGTAGAGAGGTGTGTAGAGATGTGTAGAGAGGTGTAGAGAGGTGTGTAGAGGTGTGTAGAGAGGTGTAGAGGTGTGTAGAGAGGTGTGTAGAGAGGTGTAGAGGTGTGTAGAGAGGTGTAGAGGTGTGTAGAGATGTGTGTAGAGAGGTGTAGAGGTGTGTAGAGAGGTGTAGAGAGGTGTAGAGGTGTGTAGAGAGGTGTGTAGAGATGTGTAGAGAGGTGTGTAGAGGTGTAGAGAGGTGTGTAGAGGTGTAGAGAGGTGTGTAGAGAGGTGTAGAGAGGTGTGTAGAGAGGTGTGTAGAGGTGTAGAGAGGTGTGTAGAGAGGTGTAGAGAGGTGTGTAGAGGTGTAGAGGTGTGTAGAGAGGTGTAGAGAGATGTGTAGAGAGGTGTAGAGAGGTGTGTAGAGGTGTGTAGAGAGGTGTAGAGAGATGTGTAGAGAGGTGTAGAGAGGTGTGTAGAGGTGTAGAGAGGTGTAGAGATGTGTAGAGAGGTGTAGAGAGGTGTAGAGAGGTGTGTAGAGGTGTAGAGAGGTGTAGAGAGGTGTGTAGAGAGGTGTAGAGAGGTGTGTAGAGGTGTAGAGAGGTGTGTAGAGGTGTAGAGGTGTGTAGAGAGGTGTAGAGAGGTGTGTAGAGAGGTGTAGAGAGGTGTGTAGAGATGTGTAGAGAGGTGTAGAGATGTGTAGAGAGGTGTGTAGAGGTGTGTAGAGATGTGTAGAGAGGTGTGGAGAGGTGTAGAGAGTTGTGTAGAGGTGTAGAGAGGTGTAGAGAGGTGTAGAGAGGTGTGTAGAGGTGTAGAGAGGTGTGTAGAGGTGTAGAGATGTGTAGAGAGGTGTAGAGATGTGTAGAGAGGTGTAGAGAGGTGTGTAGAGAGGTGTAGAGAGGTGTGTAGAGGTGTAGAGAGGTGTAGAGGTGTAGAGAGGTGTGTAGAGAGGTGTAGAGATGTGTAGAGAGGTGTGTAGAGGTGTAGAGAGGTGTGTAGAGAGGTGTAGAGAGGTGTGTAGAGAGGTGTAGAGAGGTGTGTAGAGGTGTAGAGAAGTGTGTAGAGGTGTAGAGAGGTGTAGAGAGGTGTGTAGAGGTGTAGAGAGCTGTGTAGAGGTGTAGAGAGGTGTGTAGAGAGGTGTAGAGAGGTGTGTAGAGGTGTGTAGAGGTGTAGAGAGGTGTAGAGATGTGTGTAGAGGTGTAGAGAGGTGTGTAGAGAGGTGTAGAGGTGTGTAGAGAGAGGTGTAGAGAGGTGCAGAGAGGTGTGTAGAGATGTGTAGAGAGGTGTAGAGAGGTGTGTAGAGGTGTAGAGAGGTGTAGAGAGGTGTGTAGAGAGGTGTAGAGAGGTGTGTAGAGGTGTAGAGAGGTGTAGAGAGGTGTGTAGAGAGGTGTAGAGAGGTGTGTAGAGAGGTGTAGAGAGTGTGTAGAGAGGTGTGTAGAGGTGTAGAGAGGTGTAGAGAGGTGTGTAGAGAGGTGTAGAGAGGTGTAGAGAGGTGTGTAGAGAGGTGTAGAGAGGTGTGTAGAGGTAGGAGGTGTAGAGAGGTGTAGAGAGGTGTGTAGAGGTGTAGAGAGGTGTGTAGAGAGGTGTAGAGAGGTGTGTAGAGAGGTGTAGAGAGGTGTAGAGAGGTGTGTAGAGAGGTGTAGAGAGTGTGTGAGGTGTAGAGAGGTGTGTAGAGAGGTGTAGAGAGGTGTGTAGAGAGGTGTAGAGAGGTGTGTAGAGAGGTGTAGAGAGGTGTGTAGAGAGGTGTTTAGAGAGGTGTAGAGAGGTGTGTAGAGAGGTGTAGAGAGGTGTGTAGAGAGGTGTAGAGAGGTGTGTAGAGGTGTGTAGAGAGGTGTAGAGAGGTGTAGAGAGGTGTGTAGAGAGGTGTGTAGAGAGGTGTAGAGAGGTGTAGAGAGGTGTGTAGAGAGGTGTAGAGAGGTGTGTAGAGAGGTGTAGAGAGGTGTGTAGAGAGGTGTAGAGAGGTGTAGAGAGGTGTGTAGAGAGGTGTAGAGAGGTGTGTAGAGAGGTGTAGAGAGGTGTAGAGAGGTGTGTAGAGAGGTGTAGAGAGGTGTAGAGAGGTGTAGCAAACTACGGCCCGCCTCTACATTGATCTGTCTGTGTTTGAAATATTTTTTCTAATCTATCACAGTCATTTTAGTTTTAGAGTTATAACCGTTTAAAGTCCACACACTTTAACACACTTTACTGAACACACTCCTTTGTGTATTTGATGAAGTTGGACTTTTTCAACAAAAAGTTAGTTATGAACTTTATTTGTGAACATTATTATGAACATTATTAACTACAGTATTAGTTAGTAACTTTTTCTGTTACAAAGTGACCCTGTGTTCTGTGGAGACGCCCCCTGTTGAAACATATTATTTAGTGCATCTGCGCATGCGTCAAAGTAGGTTTACCATCGGATTCTGCATCTCCAGCTTCATGAGAGTAGTTTTATTTACGATAAACAAGATTAGACTCGTGTGTTTTGTGCTGAACACTTTGGCACTGGACACTGCAGAGATGTGGTACTGGTTCTGATTCACGTGAAGATGTGGACAATAATGTAAATAATTCCCCCTACCACTAAAAACATATAGTCCAATAGTTCTGGCAAGTGCCTCCTGTACTGGCCCCTCCCATCTCTGTGTGGAGTGAGAGACAAATGCCCAAAAAACAACAATTGTAAACTGCTTTGAGACTCTGGTCTGTGAAAGGCGCTATATAAATAAAGATTACTTACTACTTACTACTAATGTAAATAAATATACGTCTTAAGTTGGCGTCGGGACTTCTGCATTAGTAACTATTTCACAGTTGTGCAGTAAGATAATAAGGATAGAATGCACGTTTATAATATAACATTCTAAGATACTCGCTTTTCCTTTTTCAAAGATCAGAAAACTGCCTCATAAACATAAAGTGGGGATGACGTCTTCTCTGATACAGTGATAACGGGGACGACAATATCAACAAAGCACTTCTCGACACAACACAGGCCCCAGTTATGTGGCCCTCACAGGAAAGAGTTTGGGGACCCCTGGTGTAGAGAGAGGCGTAGAGAGAGGTGCAGAGAGGTGTAGAGAGAGGTGAAGAGAGGTGCAGAGAGAGGTGTAGAGAGAGGTGAAGAGAGGTGTAGAGAGAGGTGTAGAGAGAGATGAAGAGAGAGGTGTAGAGAGAGGCGTAGAGAGAGGTGAAGAGAGGTGTAGAGAGAGGTGTAGAGAGAGATGAAGACAGAGGTGCAGAGAGAGGCGTAGAGAGAGGTGCAGAGAGGTGTAGAGAGAGGTGTAGAGAGAGGTGAAGAGAGGTGCAGAGAGAGGTGTAGAGAGAGGTGAAGAGAGGTGTAGAGAGAGGTGTAGAGAGAGATGAAGAGAGAGGTGCAGAGAGAGGTGCAGAGAGAGGTGTAGAGAGAGGTGTAGAGATAGTTGCAGAGAGGTGCAGAGAGAGGTGCAGAGAGAGGTGTAGAGAGAGGTGTAGAGAGAGGTGCAGAGAGAGGTGCAGAGAGAGGTGTAGAGAGGTCAGTGAAGGATTTCCAGTATTAAAAGCTTTGTTTTCTTCATATAGAAGTTGATCATTAGTTGGAAACTGGATTTCATCAAACTCCTGCTGGTCCCCAGTGGCACAGACTGAGAAGCAGGTCTTAACGAAGAGCCTGCACCCCCCCTCCTCCCTCCCCTCCTCCCTCCCTCCCCTCCTCCCTCCTCCTCCTCTCCTCCCTCCCCTCCTCCCCCCCCCCCCCCCCCTCCTCCCCCACGCTCGGAGAGTGGGAGGGCGCATCATGCATGGCAGGAAGCAATGCAGTGTTGGTTATTGATTTGCAGTTGCTTTACAATTCCTCCGGCCCAGAGTGCTGATCCTTCTTACCTTGATAGGTGTGTTAATACCATCTGCATGGTGGGTATGTGCGGAGCCTCCCCCTCCTCCCCCTCCTCCCCCTCCTCTCCCAGCGAGCGCTGAGGGGGAGAACCAGCCATACTAATTAATAATTCACCCCAGGCCAGACTTCCTCCCCAGTGGCTCCACGTGATTACAGCGAGCAGCCAGGAGTCAAGGTTAGCGGTAATGATAGAGCGGCGTACCAACAATAACTAGCCCAGGACTGGCCTTCCCACTGGTGGAAGAGAGTCGGAGCAGAGTCGGAGCAGAGCGGGAGCCGTGAGGCGCTGGGCAGGGGGGGGGCAGGGGGCGAGGGGGGCGCAGGAGGCCCGGTGCAGGGGGTTTTGTTAGACAGCCCTCTTAGAAGTACACTGTAAAATTAATGCAGAGGTCTTGGAGAGTAAATATTGAATAAGTGCAGCTCAATGGAGTTGGAAATCAAAAGCGCCTCCTCAGGAGCCTTTGGCCTCCGAAAACTGTGCGAGCGCTGACCTCTGCATTAGCATTATTTTAAGGCAGGAGATGGAGGTGGGAGACAGGGGGCACGGCGCCAACGCGGAGAGGAAGGAGTGAGGTCTGCGAGGCCTGGATGCTCACAAACCCATCAGGCCGAGCTCAACAACAAGAGGAAGCAGCTGAGTGTGGGCCAGCAGCCATTAGCGGCGCCAGAGCCCGAGGCCTGACGAGCGCCGTGACCGAGAGCTCTGCCCACTCTCTGGATGGGAGACCTGACCCGGGACCCAGTTCTGGCACAGCGCAGGTTTCAGCCCGACAAGATCCTGCCAACTTTTAACCCTGTGCATGTATCTTTTAAGTTCGGAAGGCGAGCTGCTAAAGATCTCACGGAGCACGCGGATCTCGCTCCCGTCTCGCAGCGTCTGTCACCGTCAATTAGTGAGCGAGCGCGAGGCGGAGATGTCCCGGAGCAGTGCGCGCCTCCCTCCTGCGCCTCCCTCCTGCGGCTCGCTCCTGCGCCTCCCTCCTGTGCCTCCCTCCTGCTCCTCGCTCCTGCGCCTCCCTCCTGCGGCTCGCTCCTGCGCCTCCCTCCTGCGCCTCCCTCCTGCGCCTCCCTCCTGCGCCTCGCTCCTGCGCCTCCCTCTTGCGCCTCCCTCCTGCGCCTCCTGCTCCTCTCCCCCTCACAGGCTCCTCTCCTGATTGCACGCGATTGCTCTGCGTGCTATTCCCCAAAGAGAGCGTCTAAAGTGTTGCGGCCGCAGTAAAACACGTTCGTTAGTGCTGCAAGAAACACATTACAATAAATTATAACATTTACTCGTTTTTATTTTGAGGCGAATGTGAAACGATGGAGTTTAGTGTTTCTATAATCAGCCAAGAGCTATCCAGGGTTTGGGTCAGGGAGCAGGAGCGGACTGTGAGGTACCTGGACCTCTGCACCGGGCCTCAGCTCCTGGGCCTCAGCTCCTGGGCCTCAGCACCTGGGCCTCTGCACCTGGGCCTCTGCACCTGGGCCTCAGCTCCTGAGCCTCAGCACCTGGGCCTCTGCATCTGGGCCTTCTTGGAGTCCTTGGGAGAGGTACTGAACCGTCACAGATGCAGTTGGTATAGTACATGTCTGTCTCTCACACAGATGATACAGTTGGTATAGTACATGTCTGTCTCACACACAGATGCAGTTGGTATAGTACATGTCTGTCTCACACACAGATGCAGTTGGTATAGTACATGTCTGTCTCTCACACAGATACAGTTGGTATAGTACATGTCTGTCTCTCACACAGATACAGTTGGTATAGTACATGTCTGTCTCACACACAGATGCAGTTGGTATAGTACATGTCTGTCTCTCACACAGATGCAGTTGGTATAGTACATGTCTGTCTCACACAGATGCAGTTGGTATAGTACATGTCTGTCTCACACAGATGCAGTTGGTATAGTACATGTCTGTCTCTCACACAGATGCAGTTGGTATAGTACATGTCTGTCTCTCACACAGATGCAGTTGGTATAGTACATGTCTGTCTCTCACACAGATGCAGTTGGTATAGTACATGTCTGTCTCACACAGATGCAGTTGGTATAGTACATGTCTGTCTCTCACACAGATACAGTTGGTATAGTACATGTCTGTCTCTCACA